GAGCATGCGAGGAACAGAGATAGAGAGAGCGCCTCGGCTGTCGGATCCCAGTCCTGCTGCCTGTCCGCTCCCCCAGGATCCCGCAACGCGGCACGGGAGGCTTGGCGTTTGCATGTCACCAGAGGCCACAGCCGGTGCCAGCGGCGAGAGCGAGGGGACAGAATCTGCTTTCGATTCTTCTGTCCCATTTCACCCTTGGGAGCAAATCTCCCCTTCTCTGCCACCCAGAGTCCAAGCTGCCGTGCCCCTCTCGTCTCGCCCATTGAGCAAGGTGATTATTCGCCTCGCCAGCTGTGGCTCAGCAGAGCAGAAAAAACAATTTGGTTCTGCAGTTAGCAGCAAGCTAGGCAGGCCGGGAAGCATCAGGATCTTTTGTTGCTGGAAGTGGCGGTCCCGACTCACCTGCCCAGTGAGCTTGCCTGTCTGCTAGCTGGGCTCCCTTTATGCACAGCCCCAGAGCCAAGACTTAGGCAGGATGCTGGTGTGCCATAGGAAGACAGGAGCCAGGCTGAGCTGGCCACAGCTGCAAGTCTCTCTCTTTCTGTCTCTCTTGATTGCATTTAGAGAGAAGGTCAAGTTTGAAAGGTTTTAAGCAAAATCCCCCACACACACCAAAAAAAAAAAAAAAAATCTTCTTGGGCTGTAAGACACCAAAGGCAATGAGGAAAACACAGAGAGCATCTCCATTGCAGGACAAGATCCTTGCAAACTGTAGCCTGGCTGCATCCAGTGTGAGAAATGCATGGCAGCGTTTCCTTTGCTCCCCATTTCTCACACTGTGCCCCACGTTTGCAGGCGCTGTAACAAAGCTGGGGCATGTAAGGCAAAGGAAAGAATTCAGCCTTCACGCCGCCAGGCCCAGGTCCCTTTTTCTTTCTTTTTTTTCTCTCCCTCTTGTTATTTTTTTTCATTCCAGTTTTCCCTGCTGGCTCCTCTTTCCAGCCTGTGACGATTGCACTCTGGGTTGGTTGCTGCTGCAGGAGTCTGGGCTGCTGCACGGTGAGCGGGGGTCTAAGCTAGCAACAACCGGAGGAGTATTATAGGAAAGAGAGGGTTTAGAAACTGCAGCAGTGGAGGACACACAGACACAGAGAGGAAATATGGTTGTGTCATGGTTGAGCTGCTTAACAGGGAGCTGGAGTGAGGTGCCAGCATTTGGTCTCATTTCTCCTACAGGGTAGGCAGAGACCAGAAAGGAGGAGAAACTGTGTGAGTGTGTGTGTGTGTGTGTGTGTGTGTGTGTAACAGTTTAAAAAAACATTTGAGAGTCCTGAAATGAACCCCTGTGTCTGGCTGTTTCCCTGCTCCACTTTGTTGTGTAATCAATCCTGTAGGCGAGTGGTGGAAGAAAGGCTGCCTTAAAGAAGTCATAGACACAAAAGGAAAAGCAAGGGGCCTCTTCTGGGGCCAACGGACCCTGTGTTGCATTTAACCTCCCTGGGCAAACTGATGGGCTTTTCTGACTCGTCACTAGGTGTCGTCACTGTCCAGCTCGGCCAAGCCACCTCCTGACTGCCCAGTAGCACCGGGCAGAAATGCCCGATAGGGTGTTAGGCTGGACGGACGAGAGACGAGGCGATGCATATGCCATTGCCATTGTACATCTCAATGGTGAGTCCTTCCCGGGAGCAGGGAGAGGGCACTCAGGCACTCCGAGGCTCCTCATCACAGAGAAAGCCTCCCAGGACAGGACAGCTGGAACGGGTGGTCTCCCGGGCGAGCGGGGAGTCAGAAGAAACTGCCAAGGTTGGGGCAGTTTGGCTTTCAAGGTGAAGAGTAAGAGAAATTAGAGAAGAGCACAACGTGAATTTGAGAAGGTCAAGTTGGGCGATCCTTTGGCCATGTCTACTCAAGAGGAATGGGCTGCACCAACAGGCCGGCAACTGAGCCCTTACATTAGACCGAGCGACTGCCGGCTCTCGCTGCCAGGCTCCCTCCTGGGCACCTCCCAACGTACGCTTACAGGATGCAGCTGTGCTTTTCATGCTTCCAGTTCTGATTGGAAAAGGACAGGCTTGGGATACCGTGGCCAAGAAAATGAAAATTGCAGCGGAGGACCAGCAGGCTTCAGGGACTGGTGGTGGGACATTGAGCCTCCAGCCTTCAAGCCATGAGTCCGAATGCATCCGAGGTGACCTAATATCCCAATATCACTAGCCAGCAGTAATGATTTAGCGGCTTCCATGAAACAGCAGTGATCTCACTTGCGTTCCAACGGACGGGCGTCTTTGCGACGGGATCCGAATGAGCTCAGGTTTGTAGATTAGACAGCAAAGGAAACCATGGTGGTCATCTTGTCTGTTTTCCTGCAGAGAAGAGGCTATAGTTTCTCCCTGAGATAACTCCGGTCGGAGCTGGAATGTAACTTCTATAGAAACACCGAACCTTGACTTAAAAATATCTAGTATTGGAGTGAGGGGTCCGGTATTTAATGTCCGAATTTGCCAGACTTCAAATGAGAAGCTGAAGACTGAGTGGGCCGTGGAGACTCGCTTTCAGAGGGACCCCCCGGTCTGGATTAAGTGATCGTTCCCAACTGCTAGCTAACCTCTGAGCCAGCTGAGCTCCCCTCAGCCATCTCCTTCCTCCCCCGGCGTGGCTCTTTCTTCCCCCTCCGCTGCTGTCACTGAACTCGCAGGCTTTGAGATGCAGCTGGGCCCCCTGTCCCTGCATCTGCCCCTTTGAAGTTCAGTAACGGCTTGCAGATGTCAGTTGAATGTGTCCTCACCCAACCAGGTAGCATCACTGGTGCCAGGGGAGAAAAATAGCCACCGGCTGCATCTACGTGAGCAGCGGACTATGCAGTTGTTACCATGCGGTCATTTAGTACTTGCTTAACCGGGTACTAAATGCCCGTGCAGTAACCGGCAGTATTGTGCAGTGCCGTCACCGCCCGGATTTTCTGAGATGCTGCTGCACAGTAGCAATGAGTTACTGCGCAGTAGTTCGTCACCACTGCACAGTAGCGTTGTTCATCTGCTCTGACCTTGCCACAGCCTCCAGCTTGTTCTCCAGATGGAAATTCTTACAATTTTCTTCCAGTTTCTTCCATCACAAACATCTAATCCTGCTGAGCAGGGAGGTGAACTGGGTGACTTCGGAAAATCTCTTCCAGCCCTGCATTTATATGGTACTTCTAAACCAGAGGGAGAATTGCTCTTGAAAATCCTTCCATTTGCTCATCCCTTCTGCCCCCAGCATGGGTTAATCCTGCAGAAGGCAGCACGGGAAGAAACTGCAAGGCAGCTTAGCCACCGATGCGGTGGAAGAGAGCGGTCAACTTTCCCATGCTCTGCAGAATAGCAGCCAAGCTTGGAGGTGTGAGACTTCATCCCATGACGTGTTCTGTCACAGCCCTGTGGCAAATCTGGACCCGGTCCTGCCATCCCTGGCCGCAGCGAGAGCTGAATTGGGCTCATAAATGGGGTTACCTACTTCACCCCACAACCTTCTGCTTTGCCATTTCCCCTGCTGCACCCCACAGGCATCTCCCCTTCCCCTTAACTATCCACATTTCCTTCCCATTGCCCTACCCGTGAGGCCAGGGGTGGCCTTTGCCACGCGCTTTGAGATCCGGGGATGAATAGGCCAGAGCAAGGTATTATTGTGGCTGCAATCATCATTGCCCTCACCTGGGTGTCAGTGGGTGCATCCACCCTGCAGGTCGGCTTCTCTCTGGCCTCATCCAAAGCTGGACTACAAATGGTGATGGGGGAATCCAGGCTCAAATGCCAAGGGCAGGGTGGGAGGGTAGTGGCCCCTCTCCTCCCCATGCCATGCTCCCGACAGGGTGGAAGGCAGGGGTCCGAGCGTGCTCAGCTCATGGCCGTGCTGCAACCCTGATTAAAGGCTCTAGTTCATACAAAGGCACCAGTTCCTCAGGAGGCCTAACACATTCCTCCGGGAATTAGCACAGGTCACATGGCTCCCGATTGCGTGCTGTGTGTGCCAGGCAGCGAGGCTGCCACGTTCAGGCGCCCCTCCCCAAGCCTCCCTCAGTGGGGGGTTGGGACCTACAGTGATAATGGCCTATAGACAGGCTCTCGGATGGCACTGCTGCCCTTTGGGGGGTTGTGTAGGCACAGCACAGGGTCTGCGGCAGATGCTGGGTGTCTGCCCGCCTTCCCCCCGGAGGCTGCAGGATCCAGAGACTGGGAAGTTTGGGGAACTCCATGCTCGTCTCGGGGGACCTGCTTGAGATGAAACTGCTGCTACTGTTGGCTGTGTCTGTCCCGGGAGACCTGCCTGCTCCCGGGGTCTCTGCATACCTGCCGTCTGCCTGTCTGTACGCATGGGCCTATGCCACCTTCATCTCCTGAGCCCGGGTCTCACACAAGCTACAGTCTCTGTGTCACCTTACCCCAGGCCATGCATCCAGGAGACCACTTGGCAGCCTGACCTGTTCCTCCCCGCAGCAATGGGGATAGGAGAGAACTGCCTCCGGGTTTGGGCTTCCAGTCCCCAGCGTGAGCAGTAGAGAGCAGCACAGGCACGGGAAGCAAGCTCCCTTGCTAGCAACTGCAGCTAGGACCTCTGTAATGTCCCCGAAGTGAAGGACTGAGTCTTGAACCCAGACTTCTCCTTCCCATCCATGCCTTTTTACTGGCCTAATCCTAGCAGTGGGTCAGCTTCAGCTCTTAGACGCCTGAGCCTAGCTTGGTCGTGCACGGACTAGGATAACGGGAGGGGAGACGGGGGTGAAGGTGGCAGCTCCCCAGTGATGAACTTGTGATCCTTTCTGCCCTCTGTGCTCTGGGACAGAGGTTTCATCCATCGCTTTGACCCAGATCAGCTGGGTCTGATCTGACATTCAGCCAGGTTTATCTTCAACTAGCTTCAGCCAGCTTGAAACTGGTTTATGTGCACTGATCTTCTGTTCTCTTCCAGGTTTAAACCAGTTTCTGATGACTTGTGTGTAACTTCTGCCCTTAGCCTTTGTGTTTGTGGAGCCAGCCCCTTGGGTCTAGAGTGATTTGAATGGTCTTCCTCTTCTCTTCTAGGGGGTGTGAAAGCCTGTTCCCTCAACTGCTTGGCCGAGGGCTTCAATTTCTACACGGAGAGGGCTGCGGCTGTGGTGGATGGGACCCCCTGCCGGCAGGACTCCAATGACATCTGCGTCAATGGGGAGTGCAAGGTACCTTCTGGTTGCTGGAGAAGGACCAAGGGTGGGTTGGGGATCCCTGGAAGGTGCTTCCCTCCTGGAGTCTCCACATCCCAATGCTGTCCGTGGAAAATACAGCAGTGGCCTCCGTGAACCCTAGACGTATGCAGTGGGGCCTGACGTTCAGCAGTGACGTCAGTTGGGCTTGAGGCCGCTAAAGGCTGCTTCTAGGCTGGGTCCACACAGCCCTCCCATCCCTGCAGCTCAAGGAGGGTGACCATGGTCCTGCATTTGGGACACCCTGCCTCCTTTCTCCTTCTGCTCCTTCGCTCCTTGGCTGCCCTGGCTTTCTTAGCACGCTCTTTCTTACCTCGCTGCTTCTCTTGAAGCCCTCACGCCAAACATGCTACCGTCATTGGTCGTTGACATGGTTCAACCAGTAGTGCAACAAAGCGGGTGTGGAGCAGGTGCAAAAGGGGCAGCAGCTGCACTACTGCCAGCGTACCAGTGATGCTGGCCCACATGTGACTGCCACCCGCAGCACTCGAGTGCCCAGTGGCACCTCTGGATTGTCCTCCTTGTGTGAGCTACTCGACACCTTCCTGAGCCAGAGGGGCACAGACGGAGACAGGTGCAGGGTGCCTGCTTGACGAACAGAAGGAGGGAGGGAGAGGGATAGACAGATTAAAGATGGGGGAAAGAAAGGCTCCTCTGTTGCTTGATCTTATATTTTGCCATCAGCAGCTGATGGAGAGGAAAGCCAAGAGTTTCTTTTCCTGGGGTCCTGGCTTTCCCGTCACTACCCAAAGCACCTGGCTCACCTGTGGGACATGCCCTGCGGAGCAAGAGCACAGACGTTTCTTTGTTTCTTATGTTGCTCCAGGCTCTGGAACAGGCGTTGCTCTTTGTTCTGTTCCCCAAGGGCGAGGTGAGGTCCTCGGCTGGGTTAATGATCAGCCTCTTGAACCTTCCTTCCTCTGGGTGCTTTGAAATAGTATCTGGAGGTCTATAAATGCTTCTTTCTGAAGGAGAAGAGCTGCAGGACCTGGGAACCTCCCCCAGCAGCAGGCCCCTCTGCCTTTGCTTGTCTCCCTGCCTGTGCCTCTGAAATCTGCCTCTTTGTGTAGATATGTGTGTACAGCAAAATGAAGGCACGGTTGTAGCACAGACGCCCGCACCAGTTCGAATCCAGCCAGCTCAGGGACAAATAGCAGTGGAAACGGGGAGGCAGAGGGGTCGGCTTGGGTCAGCCACCCGAGTACAAACCTGCCAGCAGCTTGATGGGCATGATCCTTGCCACCCCAATGGGCTGGTGGCTCTGGGGCTCCGGGATGGCAGCTTACACCCGTGACTTGCATTTCTGCCATGCCTGGTGCTCCACTTCAGTGCCTGCATTGGACATAGGCTACATCAGATGAGAACCCACACTCCAGCAGTTAAAGTGGGGCTCCCTCTCTGTGCCAACACCCCCAGGGACTTAATGGACAGGAACAAGCCATCCTGCTGAACGACCATCCTACCTGCGGGCACAGGCTGGACTCTAGCATGTCTTCTGGGCTCTAAGCCCAGCTCTGCCCTGGACAGGTGTGAAGCAACTCGCTTCACCCGGCTGCACCTCCATGCCCCACTCTACACAGGCAGTAGCACTAACTTAACAGTGGGCACATCTACATGTGCCATTAATGTGAAGCAATGAACTCTGGAATTTATTGCTGTTTGAACATGCATCTGGGGCACACTGAGTGGGGTTGGAGCAGCTGCAGTGGGCCCCAGGGGTCCGCCTGCCAGCCTGGGGCTGCTCCCCCGAGCTCAGCGTGCTGCGGAGGGGCTGGCTGGGGCACGAAGGTGCTTCAGTAAGGGACTAGCTGGCAAGCAGTCCCTGCACTGAAACATCTGCATGCCCCAGCCAACTGGGGCAGTGTCTACACGTGCACTGCTGCAGGGTTTTTGGCTGACTAGTCTACTGTGCAGTAAACTTCTCAGGTAGATATGCCCTTTGAGTGTAAGAGTGATCTTTCCAACTCTTGAATACTTTCCACGAGGAGGGTGAGTCTGACCCCGCTAATCCCCTCTTTTGATAGGTCTTGATATCCCAGTGCTCAGCTTCTTTTCTTTTGCTAATTGTGTCGGCTACCCCTGACAATTCCTCCCACCCCTTCCCCTCTGCTGTGCTTGACTTGCTGCGCCTAGCTCCCTATAACCAGAGACCTGAGGAAGAAGGTCTTGCATTCAAAAGCTTGTCTAATTTTGTCCCAGCTGGGTCCAATAAAAGCTATCACCCTATGACATCCTAGCTTCTCTCCACTGCGAGGGCTCTTAAATGTGCCGCGCTCCGCGAGTGCTCATGCGGAGCCTTCCCCGCAGCCAGAGGACAAGTGGACAGCCACGAAAGCATTGCCTCAAGTGGTGCTGCCGGGTTGGGATAAGGGAATCCACTGTCACATCCCGCCAGCAGTTTGCCCAAGGCCTGTTCATTCCAGGTTGAGTGGCTTTCAACCTTGGTCCCTGCACTGCTTCCCTCTCTTGCCCCTTTTCTCCTATTGCCCCTTAGCTGTGTCCTAGGGGTGGCAGAAGGAAGGCCATGCTGAACGACCCCCCGCTGGTGTGAGATGTAGATGAGAAGGAGGAATAAAATCAAGGCAGATTGGGCTCCCTGAGAGACCTACACCGTCATTCGTCTCCCAGGACCCCTGGGACCTCTCCCGGGACCCCTGGGACCCAGTCTGGAGGTCTATCCCACAGGGGAGTGGGGGCATGAGTACCTAATGCCTGGTGCTCTTTCCTTCCAGCACGTGGGCTGCGACCGCATACTGGGCTCTGACTTGAAGGAGGACAAGTGCCGCGTATGCGGTGGCGACGGGAGTACCTGCGAGACCATCGAAGGCATTTTCAACCAGTCCCTGCCTGAAGGAGGTAAGGAGCAGCCAGGGAGGCAGCCTTGTGGTTCCTTTATATCTGCTGGTTTTATCCTGGGAGAATCTACTGGCTTGGTCCTTAGCTTGGTGGGAGGTAAAGGGCTCGCTGTGCTTGCCGGGGGTCATACTTCTGCCAAAGCCACCTGGAAAGGCAAATGCTCCAGAGGTACATCCTCAAGTAGGGTTCAAGCACACCTCTGGGCTCTGCTGAGATCCTCGATTGAGCCCCACTTGCTCACACAAGGTCTGCCAGCACTTGGCTTCCCACTGGTAGAGTTGGGCACCTCGCAGCTGTGGTGGCGCCCACAGATCCCTGCTCTGCCACCTCAGGCTTTTCTCCGCGGCCTGATCCCAGCAGGGCAAGGTCTTCCCGCTGACCCGGGGCACTGGGGTGTCTTCCAGGTTATGAGGAGGTCATCTGGATTCCCAAGGGCTCGGTGCACATTGATATCCGGGAGCTGAACCTTTCCATCAACTACCTAGGTGAGAAAGCAGCAGGCTTGGGAATCCGGGGGTGTAAAGCTGGGAGGTTCACACTGCAACATCAGGGAGATCCAAATCAGAAGTCATTTCCATGCCCGTACCCCTCCCTCTCTGTGGCCAGCATGGCAGATCTCTCCCTGGTGGGGTGTTTGGCCTGGAGGGGTCAGGGAAGGTAAACTATTCTTTACACTAGGCGGCCTGGTGCACTGAGTGGAGCATTTCCCCCTTTACAGGGGACGGCACCTGCTGCAAAGGCCTGCCGCTTGCTGACAGCTGAGTCAGGACCGGGATGTATGTGTGTGTGGTGTGGACAGCCTGTCCCCACTGCGGCTCTGCCCTGCACGTACTGTTCAGCAACCAACGCGGTAACCCTAAGCGAGCCCCACGCCCCCCTCGGCACCTCCCTCTATGCCCACGTGTCGGGCTGGGGTTTAAAAATAGGCTGCCTCCCGTTTTCCTTGGCCTCGATTTCCCAGCCAGACTCGAGCATCTTGTTTTTCCAAAGGGCTTTTCAATTAATCAGCGACAACTGCAGGGGGGCAGGGAGGGAGCGCGGCTTTCCACACCTCGCCCAGCAGCTCACCTGCGGCGCTCCCGGGGAAGCGACACCGACACTGGAGCCGGCCCTGAGGTCACGGCGGGAAGGGAGCTCCCCTCTTTCCTTGCCGCTGTCCTGGGAGAGCCGCATTCACGAACACAGCCCACGCTGCTGCTGTACAAGGCAGGCTGGCTCCCAAGGGGTAGTGTCACCTACCGGAGCCTGCTGCGATGCTCCCTTAGCCTTCCTTGTTCATCGGGAATTAACTTGTTCACCTGGGCCGATGCCAGCTATGGGGCGGGCTGGGATTGCGGTCCCCCCCCCCCGCATTCCCTCCATTGTTCATTGTGAAAGGTAAGGTATGCCCCACGCCTGGTGCTAGCACTGGGGTCCCTCGCATACCACCCTGTGCCATGCCCTCGACATGGCCAGTCTCAAGGGAAGAAAGTCTTCCCCATCCTTCTCACAACCACAAGAGCATCCTCCCTGCCCCAGAGCACTGCAGAGAAGGACACGTTCAAAGCATTGACAACAGCGGCAGGCAGGTAGTAATGAAGGACCTAGGTGTAATGGGCTGGTGTGTGTGTATATAGGAGAGGGAGACAGAGCAGGTCCCCTCTAGTGACTGCCATCAGCAACAGCAGCTGGCTGCACACTCCCAGCTATTGAGGTCCTTCTTCAGCCCAAGCTGTAGACTGTAGAGGCCTGTGTTTCCAGCATCATAGACTTCAAATCTAATACGAGCCGAAGCCCCGTGTTGTCTCTATGCAGGGCTTTATGGCCACACTTCGTTCTGCTACCAGGATTTGAGAAGACCTTTGCCAAGTGCCTTCCTATGTGCTATCCCAACATAGTCATCTCCCCAGAATTGGCCAGCAGGTCCTGGACCTCAGCAGTATGAGTGGCCCAGTGGCAAGTTTGCGAGCCTGGGAGTTGAATCGGGAACGGGCTTCCAAGGGAGGTGGTGCTCTCCCCTACCTTGGAGGTCTTCAAGAAGAGGTTGGACGTGCACCTGGCTGGGGTCATCTAACCCCAGCGCCCTTTCCTGCCCAGGACATAGGGGGTCGGACTCGATGATCTCCTGAGGCCCCTTCTGCCCCAAACGTCTCTGAATCTATGAGTGACGAGCTCAGTGGTCAAACCCAACTCAGGCACTGCCTTCAGACGTGGCCTTGAGCAAGTCGCACCAGTTCTCTACAGCTCAGTTTCTTTCCTGTAAAAATGGGGATAACAGATTTCTCCTCCTTTGTAACAATGCTGAGTCCTAAGGATGAAGAGCACGGTGTTGTGGCTAAACGCTGCGTCACGCAGTCGGAGGTGAAAGCGGAGCAGTTAGAAGCTACCGTGGTGCGAGTATTAGACATGCCGTCGAAGCTGTGTTCCCCCAGGGCTGCTCAGAGAGAGCCCGTGGCCTCTCAGCAAGGACGCCCGTTGCGCGGGGGCAGCTCACGGAGGAAACGGCCTCCACGCTCAACACTCTTTCCCCTCCTTGTCCTTCCAGCACTGAAAGGGGAGAACGGCGAGTACTACATCAATGGCAAGCTCTCCATCGACCCACCGAGGCGCTTTGACATAGCTGGGACGACGTTCCACTACAGGAGATCTCAGGATGAACCCGAATCGCTGGAGGCCTTAGGACCTACCAATGCCACTCTCCTTGTCATGGTAGTATAGCTTTCCTTCCCCACATTCCCACCAGGCTTAGTCTTGGCTGAACAGTCACTTCCAGTTTTCCTCTCCCCCCACACTTGCCCTAGACATAGTGCCAGTCAGTCTGCAGCACACTCCCTGTTCCCTTGTTATAAGGCCAAACTCTCAGCTTTGCCTTCCCCTGTATGGGGGCACTCCTCGATGCACAAGGCCCAGCCTCAGCTGTAACTGCACGGGCTCCCGGCCCCTCCTGATCGCTTCTTGACCCACTACTCTGGCTTCACGCCTCTCATGCTACCCTGCTGCGCCAACCCGAGGCTTAATGGATATCAAGTCAAAAATAGTTGCAGAGCTAGAGGAGGGACAGGCGAGGACCCCGCCATGCACACCTGTGCTCACGTCCAGCTCTGAGAGCGCGTTGGCACCAATGCACTGACAACACCTCTTTCCACAGGTTCTCGTACGGACAGAGCAGCCAGGGATTCGGTACAAGTTCAATGCACCCATCACCCGGGACACCTTAAACCAGTACTCTTGGCACTACACCCCATGGACCAAATGCTCAGCTGTATGCGCAGGGGGTGAGAGGTTTGACTGTGCTTCAGCAGGGGAGAGGCGTATGTATCTGCAACCCCCTGTGACTCCCGAGCGCCGGGCCTTGGCCACGCAAGACAGCCCACGGCGGGATTTGGTTTGGCAGCCTTTTTAGCCCAGCATTTTCATACAATGACCTCACACTCAGGCACTTGCAACTCGGTGTCAGTCAACATGGTTTTGTGGGCCACGTGTCCCGTCACACCAGCTGAGTTTCATTCTTTAGCTAGACAACAAGAGTAGCTGGTAAAGGGAACTGTGTTGACATGTTGACCTAATCCACTTGAAATTCGGTGGCTTGTGTTATGCAGGTCAGACTTAGATGATCATAATGGTCCCTTCTGGTCTTCAGATCTACACATCTGTGAACTGATGCACCTCAGATGCTTCCCAGAATCCCTTGGACTAGTTCCTGTGGGAATTGAAGCAGTGGTTTATATGATGTGTCTGGTGTCTCTGGAGAACGTGGCTGCAAGTGACTGAGCAAATGTTGAGAAGAAGGGAGAGGCAGTTTCAAACACAAGGTCTAATAATGTTTCATATTTGAAGTTAGGGACCTCCTTCATGGCCTGTGTGCTGGGCCTCAGCAAGGGGAGTGAAGGAAAACAATGTTCCCGTTGTTTCTTCCCACTGCTTTCCCCTCCGTAATTTTGCTCAAAAACTGGTCAGACCAGCTGAGAGTAGCTTTGTTGCAGGAAGCTGTTATCGCAGGTATCGCTTAACCAAATAGCCTCAGATTTGCTGTAAAAATGCTTACTTGTGGCCTGAGCTGGCCTATCAAGTCCCAGGGCAATCTGGCTGATTGGGTAGATTTTCGAGACAAGGAAGGGCTTGGCTGGAAATAGAAATGTAGGTATGACCCTAAGTAGCATTATGACGCAGACCCAGGAGGAGGCGAGCGGTGGTGTACTGTACCTGCAGACTGACTGGAGGGGCATGGCGAGCAGTTCAGCAACCTGCACTCACATTCAGGCTACGTCACTCTTTCTACCATTTCTCATCTCCTTGGCAGGCAGTCAGGCCCAGTCCATCGTATGCAGGAAACTGGCTGACAGCTCGACAGTCTTCAACCATTTCTGTAACCCTGAAGCCAAACTACCTGAGAGGCAGAGGCCGTGCAACACTGAGCCATGTCCACCGGCGTGAGTACAACGGCCTCTGTGTGATGGGTTGTCTCTGCTGGCGGACCGTGGGGTGATGGGGCTGGTGGGATGGCTGACGGGGGTCTTAGATGGACAGCCAGGCTGGATCAAAGACTTATACCCCCTTGGGGTCTTCCTGACAACCCAGACTGTAGCTACGGCAAAACACACGCCCTGTCGCATATTGTCGATGACTGCCCGCTGACTACGTTCAGTGGTGGGCTATAGGAACAGCACATGCTGCTGAGGACACTATCGGCGATTTTGCACGTGCTGAGTGACTCACGGATGCTCTGTGCCATAATACCCAGCAATGCACTAATATAGATTTCATAGATTTTTAGGGTCGGAAGGGACCTCTGTAGGTCATCGAGTCCGACCTCCTGCCCTGGGCAGGAAAGAGCGCTGGGGTCACATGACCTTAGCCAGGTGCCTGTCTAGTCTCCTCTTAAAGACCTCCAAGGTAGGGGAGAGCACCACCTCCCTTGGAAGCCCAGTCCAGATTTTGGCAACCCTCACCGTAAAGAAATTTTAATATGTGTATAGCACAGTTGGGTTCCCTGGAAAAAGGGGGCTAAAATAATTGTTAGCAGTAGTAAAACAGCATCAACTTGACGTGAGAGTAAAATGGGGCCAGAGGCAAGATCTAGCAGCAGAAGCAGTGGGAATAGAAAGCCAGTGGATAAATTATTACGTCAATAGCTTTGCCCTATGGCTCTCGGTCCTGACTGACTCAGGAGCCACGCATGTCATTAGTGTTAACCAAAGAACCATGACAGTGCACGCACGCCTAGGCGAACCGGAGGAAACAACCTTCTGTTCACAAGTCAAAACTACAGCCCCTGAATGCCTGCCAACAAGCGGCCAAGTGTTACTAACTTCAGTCGAGCTCACACATTGCATCGCGCAAACCCTGAATGCCGTCTTTGACAACAGCTTCTGCGAAGAGCTAGGGGTAATAAGTTGAATTGCTGCTTGTGGCTTGGGAGCCGTGGTCTGGCTTAGGGAGATGAGAATAGAGTAGCTATGCAGAAGTAATGTGCAGTGCTAGCGTAGGCCCATAGAGAAGGTGTGAGCTGTAAACATCCTGTATGAGAATTCAGTTAGCCAACAGCAACCACAAGCGTGCTCTTGGCTGGGTTGAGACAGAGGAGGTAACAGTCTTGTCTAAAAGCTTTGCGTAAAAAAGGGAAACAGCTTTCGACAGGTCCCGGCAGAGCCAATATGAGACCGTGTGCCCTCATCTTAACCCTGCTGGAAGCACATTTGGCCACTTCTTGCAGAAGCTTGTGCTGGGAGGTGGAGGCTGTTGAAGTGCACGGTGCCGAGTGCAGCTTGCTTTTGGACTCGACCAGAGCTTGGCAGAAGAACGGGAGCCACCGGTTGCATCTCTGATGTCCGGATACTTGTTCCTGGTATCCCAGGTGAACTGAGGCACGCGAGGTGTAGGAGGAAGAGCTGAATCCTCGGCATTGTAGGGACTGGAGAAGAGGACTTGAGAGCAAAAAGCGTGCTCTTGGGGAAAGAATTGAAAGCAGCCCAGAAGCAAGCTCAGGAAAACGGTTGGCTGTGAACACGTATAAGCAGCGCTCAGATTGAGGCTCGGGAGTTCACAGGAGCCCTCACAGAGACAGTCTGGCTATCAAACCAGCCAGGACCTCATACCTAACTGCTAATAAAAATGTTGCAAACCCAGTGGAGTTAGAGTGCCCGTGCATACGCCAGAGAAGGAGATGTGGCAGCGCAAGGGTGACAACGCCTGGGAATCGCACTGGGAAAACCTGTAATCACCACTAAAAGCCAGGGAGCAAGTGAATCAATCGAAATCCCATTTAGCATAAAGGCAGGCAGCACTATGCTGCAGGAGCTGGGGGCTTTTTTCTGTGATGGCAGAGTAGGGAGGCTTACTAATTGGGTAACCACCCTACCTTGGGGGTCTTCAAGAGGAGGTTGGATAGATATCTGGCTGGGGTGTTATGATATCTGGCTGGGGTGTTATGATCCCAGCACTCGTTCCTGCCCAGGGCAGGGGTCGGACTTGATGATCTGTTCAGGTCCCTTCCGACCCTAGAAACTATGAAGCATTGCAATAGCCCGTGAATCTTAATGGCCTAACCCTTGTGATGTAAGAAGGGCATCGGGGAAAGCTGAGAAGAGAGCCCCGCAGGATTGTGCACCAAAAGAAACTCTTAAATATTGTGATATTAAGGGGTAGTCCTCCACCATAAATAGCTTCCAGCAAGCACCGATAATATCATGAGTTGAATTAGATTGCCTAGGGAATCTCCTTTCAAGCATTGAGCAAAATAGTTGGCTTATTCAGGCCAGAGCCAGACTCTGATATGGCTAAGAAGTGGGTTTGGGAGGTAAACAAGGAGAGGAAGACTGAGCCCCTGGCCACCCCCGATGAGCTCGGGCCAAATCTGCAGGCAGCGAGTGCAGAGCTTCCCTTCCCCACGGTGAATGCTGGAGTTGAGGGTATTTGAACGATGGGAACCGTTGGGCATGCAGGCATCTATTGCAATCACGTGTAAAGGTGCAAGTGAACCCCAGGAAGGAGACGCAGTCTCTCTTTGGGGAATCCTTGGTCTTGTACTCTTAGTGAAGCAGACCCAACCCCTCCATGTTCAACAGGGAGTTGGGAGGGGAAATAGCTTGTGCAGTCGTGCCTCATACTCGGGGAATCTTGGCAAGTGATTGAGCTCCTAACAACGTAGCTGCTATCCATTTGGCAAATCCGCCGGAGATGGAATTCAACTGCAAGTAGATGAAAGAAGGAGCCAGTAATTGTGTCAGGAGCAAACACAGTGCAAGAGGTAAAGGCAGCGTGGGGGGGATGATTCTCTCGCTGTCAGCAGCGCTCAGGCGAACGTGGGACCCCACTGAGTGAAGCTGAAAAGAGCAAATTCAGTAAGTAATAATGACTCGATGGGGGGAGACTCCAGTCTGAAACACCCTCCGCAGGGGACAGGGCCCAGTAATGTATGAGGACAAGGGCTCCAAAGGTGCTCTCTGCCCCCATTGCAGGTGCCCAGCATGCAGCCTCACTCCTAACCGCTGGCATTTGCCTCTTTCCCCAGCTGGGCGATCGGGAATTGGTCCGAATGCAGCCGGAGCTGCAATGAGGGCGTCCGCACACGCAGCGTCATCTGCAAGCGCAAGATCTCCACCACCGAGGAGAAGACGCTGGATGATGCCTCCTGCACCCAGCCACGGCCCAAGATGCTGGAGCCCTGCAACAATCAAACGTGTCCCCCAGAATGGGTTGCCCTGGACTGGTCAGAGGTAAGGGCCCCTGCTCCAGCACACGGAGGTGGTAGTTGGCATTCAGTTTGCAGAGGCGCCATTCACTGAGGCAGATAAACACTATCCAGAGCTACTGGAGCAGGTGCCATCGCATACTGGAGAGGCGATGCTGGGAGCAGTCCTTCATGGACCCAGGGGACAGAGTAGATGGGGGTCTATTGGGACTCGCTCATAGGGAACTCCCCGGTGTCTGCCCTGCCAGGTCAGCAGAGCTGCATTAGATCCTCTGCTCTGACATAAGGATAAGCCGAGGTTTCATTAGCTAGTCAGCAACGTGCCTGTGATTGCCGAGGGAGCTCCACGGGGCCTAGTCTGTTGTGACCACAAGAGAGTTTGGTGTTCTCAGTCCAGGTGCAGAGGTGATTGCAAACGATGAGAGCCTGCTGGCTGAGTAGCTGGCACACGAAGGGAACAGTCAAGGCTCTTGAGGTATCCCTTGAGCAGCTTGGGCAAATGGGTGCCCAGGCCAGGCAGGCTCCATTCAGGGTGTAGTTCATTGGGAGAGGGCACTGTGCAAGACTAGAAAGACGCTGCAGCTGCTTGACCATGCCTGGACCAGGTCCAGATCCTCCACTGCCGAAAATAAGAGCATCTACATGATAGCTGAAGGTGCCCCCATGCCATACGGCTCCACTCTGCTGCAGGGCTCCAAGCACGTTAGCAAGGTCCCGCTCAGAGCGGGGCGCGCAAAGCTAGAGCGAGAAGGAATGACTCCTTAGTCGCCCAATGGACTCTGTGGCAGAAGGGGAAATAGATGTGCCATTGCTCCCCCGCCATCCTCCACCTTAATCACTAGATCAGGGGGCCTCACACCTGCCTGGAGGCACCTTGTGGTGAAGGAGAGACTGGCCCAATGGGGATTACCTAGCTTGGAGAAGAACCGATTGATGTGTTAAGATGAGTTCTTGGGTTCAGCTGGCCCTCAGCAGTTATTGGAGAGACCAGAGATCAGGGCACTAACGACAGATGGAAAAGGGATAGGAAAGGGGATGTGGTATTTTCTGAGGAGCGGCAGTCAGCTGGACAAGGCAGCAGAATGACTCAGAAGTACGTCAGCTCCGCATCCCACCCATTACATTTAATGAAATACTCACGAGGCTTGACCCACCCCTTGCAACAGCCTGCAAGGGTAGCAAAGAGCCTGCCGTGGCTCTCGCCCAGCTGCAGCGTCCAGGCCGCAGGGCTCCCTGACCGCGCCGCGTCTCTCTTTGCAGTGCACCCCGAGCTGCGGGCCGGGTTTCCGCCACCGCATCGTGCTTTGCAAAAGTGGTGACCACAGCTCGACCCTGCCAACCTCGCAGTGCCCCGAGAGCTCCAAGCCCCCTACCAGCATGAGGTGCAACCTCCGGCGCTGCCCGCCCCCACGCTGGGTGACTGGCGAATGGGGAGAGGTACTGAATGACCTACTGCCACTTACTATTTGGGGGGCCCAGAAGTTCCTAACCCATGCTCCAGAACCCCCAAATCCCTTTGCAGTTGCATACTTTTTTAGCCTTAGCGCCGAAGTTGGCCTTAGCTTCAGCAAGCAGCTCTGCCGTGTCACAGATGCTGGGAGAAGCTGGGCTTTGCACTGCCCGGGCTGGTGGGGTGAGGGAGAAGGGCTGCACTAGCTAGTGTCATGACTGGTTAGGGGGGTGGAGGGACCAGGCATGGACTCTAGCCCACGGTGGCATGAGGGTGATCGAGCCTGGAGTCTGTCAGGGACGCCAGTGGTCACACTGGTCTTGGGCATCTGTTCTTCCTGGGTATTCGGGGTGTTCTGGCTCAGATCCCCAGCTGGCCTGCCTGTAACCCACTGAGACACTGCGCTCATCTGTCTGCAGCCAAAGGAGCCTGTGGGACGGAGGGGCAGCAGGGTAGCCTACCTGCCCAGGACTGTAGAGCAGCCGGATGCAGAGCTGGGGGCTTTGCTTCCTGCAATGGGGATTGGTAATGTAACTAAAGCGAGGCAGCAGCAGCCCCAGGTGCCAACTAAGGGGCTGGGGTGGGTGGGAAATAACAGCCACTGCTGCTGTCACCTGGCCATATACCACTTGCACCAGCACCCAGGAGCTGCTGCTGCCCCCAGTGCCAAGCTGCCCTGCTGCACCTCTGACGGGGATGCCCCACAGTGCCCTGCTCTCTCTGCAGGTTGGCACATGGCATCTGTCACTCTCTCCAGCACCCTGTGCATGCCCCTACTGACCCCTTGCACTGGTAAAGCGCGTCCTGGGCTGTAAGAAGCCTGGGCACGGTATAGGATTTAGGGCTGGAGGGACTTACTGGAGCCAATTGGATGATTCCCACTGAGCTCCCTTGGGTTCAATCAGGCTGGACTGCGGGATAATTGCTTGCATGTGAGATCCCTGTGGCCAGCTGGCATTTGGAAGTCACCAAGGGGCACTTAAATCCTTTGGTCTGGTTACAGCCTGGGGAGGAGGGAGGAAATCAGGGGGTGACCAGCCCAAGTCCCTGTTACTGCATGCTATTTGACAAGGCGTGAAGGGCAGCTGCAGCTCTGGATCGTGTCCCTGCAGTGCTCCGCGCAGTGCGGCCTTGGCCAGCAGAGGCGCTCCGTCCAGTGCTTGACCCACACAGGGCAACCGTCTAGCAACTGCGTGGAGTCCCTGCAGCCGCCGGCCATGCAGCAGTGTGAGACCAAGTGTGAATCGGGACCTACGGACAACCCCGAAGGTACTGGCCGATGGGAGCACGGGAGCCGCGGCTGAACCCCCAAACCCTGCGCATTGCTAGCTTTGCTGCAGGTTAAAAATCTGCCCCCGGGGCTCCTGTGGGTTGGTACAGGGGAGCCGTGCTGCAGAGGGTGAGGCATGGGGCACCATAAGATCTGACGTCTGCTTTGAATCAGTGCTGAACCAGGCGCCCGCCTGCGGGGAAGTGGATCAGTGCACTGATCTCGCAGCTTGTCTACACCGTGGAGTCTGCCATGACAGCAAGGCTCCCAGGGAGGATATGGCACGTGCCTGGCAGTTGGGTAGTTCTGCCACTTTCCCTAATGACCTACCTGGGCTTTGTACTGGCATTGTTACCTCGGCTGGGGGGCATCATCCTTCCGCATGTCTGGCCAACGTAGCAAACTTTGTAGTACAGCTCTAGCACCAGCACTTGGGTACATTTGGGAAAAGACGTCTAGTCTCTTCCCTTGGCCAGCTCATCACTTGCCTGGCGCTCATTCCTTTTGCTCCCGGCCAGCCTGGGCATTGGGAAGCTACACTTTCCCCGAGCCTGGGGGGGCCAGGGGTCAGTTTGAAGCCCTTCTTTACATCGGGTGTAGAGGCAGCTGCCATGGGGGGGGCAGATTTAATCCCTGTCCCTCTTTTGGTCCAGAGTGCAAGGACGTGAACAAGGTGGCCTACTGCCCCCTGGTGCTGAAGTTCAAGTTCTGCAGCCGGACCTACTTCCGACAGATGTGCTGTAAAACGTGCCAGGGGCATTAACGGAGCGAGGCCGCCCCTGTGGGAAAACTGGAAGGCGAGAGCTACGCTGAAGGGCAGCCGAGCCGTGCCGTTCCCCTCCGCCCCCTGGGAATCTCCAGAGGATTCAAAGCAAACACTGGTCGCGCTCCTGGTGGGAGCCGGCGACCCCCAACCCCTCCTGCATGACCCCCCCAGAGCCCCGACGGCGGGTTAAACCACTGCTGATGCCCGTGCCACTCCGGAGACCACCAGCGCCAAGCACGAGGGGAGCGGGGCAGTCCCTGCGGCCATGGCAGAGCCGGTCACCACGGTGGGAGGCGGGGAGCGGGGCAGAGCTCGGCAACAAGGACATTACTTGAAACAGACATTGTTATTTATTTAGTAGCGCAAATGGGTCCCGTGGGTGCCAGCCGGTGGCCATCAGCCCTGTTAGCCCTGCCCACCATGGCGGGGGACCCCGAGGCGGCTCGTGATGTCATAGGGGGAGAAGATAAAACAAGTCGCTGGCAGCGAATCAGCATTCTGCACTCCTGCCCTCTTCCTACCCCGAAGGGCACCTCTGTCCACCACTGGGAAGCTGAGCGCGCTGCGTGCCTGCCGCTGCACTGGGAAGCTGGCCTGGGTTAGGTGGGGGTGGGGAACTAATCGATGGAGCGATGGAGAAAATGGGAAGGAGGAGGAGAGGGGCAAAGGATTCCAGCTACCAGCCGGCCCCGGACAGTCAGCACTGCGCATGCCTTTAGGCTTCTTTATGGTGGAAGAGGAATTGCTGCTGGAAAGGGGAGAGGTGGGGGAGGTTCCTTGGAAGATCTCCTGGATGACTGGAGATCCGCTCAGTCCTGAGCACCGCCCAGGAAGTGACTTGAGATTAACTGGGGGGGTGGAAGGGGGCTGTGCATTGTTTACAGGCATGGTTTATTTCGTTTCCAGGTTTTGCAAAACTTTTCCCGGCTGCTGTGATCTTTGTTACAGAGGCACCTGGCAGGCCCGACCAAGACCAGGCCCCAGCGCGCTGGGTGCTGTACATGTATGTTGTAGGAGACAGGAATGCTCCCGGTCTAAGTATAGATGGTGAAGAAAGGGGGGGGCAAAAGACTTGTTGAAAAAATCACTTGGCAGCACAGCTGGCATTCGAGTCCCTAGGCTGGGGCCCTGTCCACTGCCCAGCTGGCCTCTTTAATTCACCCCCTATGCAGTCAGTCCCCTTTCAAAAATCAGCAGCCTCCCCACTTCCTTCCAGGCTGAGAGAGCTCCCAATCCACTCCTCCAGCTCTGCCCAGGAGGACACCAGCAACCCTGAGAAAAGAGTGACCTTGCAGCTCCCCCACGGCATCCTCCATCAGGGTTCACTTCCTTAGCATCTGTGATGTAGCAACCTGCCAGTTCCCTTGCCATCCAAAGTCTTCCAGGGCAAGCAGATCTGGGCAAGACCTGGATTTCCAATGCAAAAAGCAAGTGGGTTTTATTTTTTTTGTTTTTATTTTTTAAGTTTCAGGCCTTTTGCATCATAAAGATGGAAAATTCAGCACAGCCCCATGTTCGGTTCCCTTGGCAGGGAAGATCCAGGGACGCTGAGAGGGCTTGTCTGGGTAACCCTCTTCTCTCAAATGGCCCTTTCTCCCCTGCCCCAGTCCTTATCTATTCATGTACCTTCTACAGTATTATCTGTTCACCAGCCAATCACAGCCTCTCAAGTACTGTGCAGTTCCTGATTGGCTGGCGAGCGGGCATCAATAGCTTTCTTCCCGGTGGAATGCTCCATTCCAATATTTTCGCTGGGGGGGGGTGGTGCGGGGGTTGTTTTCACCATTTTATATAAATATATATAATAAAAAGTGTTTAAAATACTAACTCTGAGAAGGAGGAGCAAAATAACGGCATGATGTATAATAAAGGAGTAGCTACCATCCTGGGTGCAGCGTCTGGTCTGAGTGGCATTCCTCAGCTCGCATTCACCGCAGGTGGGTGTTCACGTGGGGCTCAGGTCGTGTGCTCGGTGGCCCGTCGCTGTCCCTGTCCCAGACTTCTCCATCAGACACTGAAGCTTGCCCCGCAGCCCAAACAGGGGGTCCTCAAAATGTATTTGTCTGGTGACTCATTACACACCTTTTCCACCCCGGTTCTCCCTTTTGGAGACATCTGTGAGTTCCTCCCAGAGCTACGGCTCAAGTGCATACTTATAAAAATTCACTGTGCAGGGGAGAAGGGAGCACTGCGAAGTCCACCCCAGATCCCTGGAGCAGCCTGGATCCTTGGCGGAGGCTGGTGGATTGCCCAGCACCGGGGAAAGCTTGAAGGACACATTGCAATTGGCCCTGCTTTGCACCCTCTGCTCTGTAAGCATGACTTGCCCACTTTTCTCTTCCCTTCCTGGCTTGTCCCTCAAACACGGCAGATTATTCCTGGAAGGACTGCCTCGCATTCAGCCCATTGAAGCTCGGCAAACCCCAGACATGATCCACATTAAAGGTCTGCCCAGAACCTCATAGTGTCACCAGCAAATGGGGAGGACTCCAAGGGCACATCCAGATGAGCGGGAATATGTGCTTTGCGGTGCCTCAAAGGCTTTTGAGGTGCCACAAAATCCATGTAGCCCATGTCAGAAAGTTCCCCGTGCTGCATATTTGCAGTGTGGAGACCGGGAAATCCTGGTATCTGGGGGGGCAAAAAAAAATGCACCCAAAACAAGTGGGGCGGCACATATGGCTGCATCGTGCACCACCAGAAATCAGAGCCGTGCTCCAGCTGCTGGCCAGGGTCTGCACACCCAGTCACCACCACTGCGACCCTGGGAGGCCCCCAGGACCCCTGAGGCTGCTGGGGCCAGGCCAGGTGCTGCCCCAGGCTCCTCTACCCCACCAGGGGCAATTTGCTGCGTGCCAGAGCACGCATGCAGAGGTGTTCCTAGGGGACAAGGAGTGGCACAACTATGTGCCGCTGCTATTTGTACCCAGGAAAACACATAGGGATGCACCCCAAGAGGCTGCGGAGGGAGAACAGCTGGCTTCTGCTTGCAGCCAGACTGCACCAGGCTGAAGCAAGGCCCAAGCTGCCAGAGCAAGGAAATCATGAGCAAGACGCCTGCCAGTTCAGTACAGGCTCATGGAGCTGGCAAAAGCATCCTCTCTTCCAGGATTGCAAGAATCGAGTCCCACAAGCTTGAGGCTCTTTTAACAGAAGACGCAAATGCAGCGTGTATTTGCCCTCAGGTTTGGGAGCATTTAGGGTGCTCTGACTTCATGTTTTCCAGCTTTCATCTGCAACCGCAAGAGCGATCAGTGTAATTTTTTTTTTTTACATGAAAATGGAGATTCTGACAAAACCGCGACTCTAGGAGGTGAGGCCTTAAGAAAAGGGCCCAGATCGAAGCCCACCCCAGATAAGGCAAGGTGAGACTCACGAGAGTTAGCTGCGTGGCCTTTGCCTCGCCCTGGACTGCAGGCGCAGGAACTGGTCTTATTCGTCCAACAGCTGCCACAGAAAGTATTGTCATCGGTCTCTCAATGTCCCCAGGTCATCTCAAGTCTTGTCCACCGCCCAGAGCATCTGCTGCTTTAGCGATGCCAGCAAAGCCCTCCAGTCCGGATGCAGCGTAGGCTGGCAGGCATTTTCCAGCTGGCACAGTTAGGAGGTAGGTGGTCCAGTGAAAGGTCGTACCAAGAAATCCCATTTCTCCCTGAATGCCGTCAGCCAAGCCTAAAGCGGGCTCTGGCTGGCATGACTTCATTGGCACCTGGGGCGCGATCCGTCCCATCCCGGGTAAAACTTTGTCTTGCAAGCCGAGCCCCAGGCAGGCTGCAGTCATCCACTAGATGTCCTCCCAGCCCTGGCGGATCAGCACCCAACCCTGCACATGCCGCCCGTCTGCTATTTTTGAAGCTAGAGCTTCTGCTGTCTCATCAGTCCCTACCACAAACGGCACGAAGGCATCATGCCTGCCAGCGCCATGGGGCGCAGCTCAGCAGGCCGGGTTCTCGGTGCCGTTTTGTAACCGTCCCCACTCAATTAAACCCAAGGCCAGAGCAGCTCAGGGCTTATCTACGCCAGCGCTGCTCAATCAGCCCTGCGGGGCCGATCCATGGGCCGGATTCTGCACAAGGTCAGGCCCCACGTGACCGGGCCCAGCCTCGCACCGCCCAGATTAGGTCCCACATCCCTGGATCTGCCTTGCAGCACCCAGATGGGGCCTCGTGCACCCTGATCCAGGCCTCGTGCCGCACCGATCGGGCCCTGCACCTGGCTGTAGCACTCCCCACAAGTCCAGAAACTTGGAAGCAGGGGGGCAGCATTTAATGCTGCCGCGACTGCCCCACAAACAGGTTTTCAGGCCCATGAGGAGCCCTGTGAGCTGCATGATATGGCTCCATAAGCCAGATCTAGCTTACAAGCCAGGGTGCAGCACCCCTGAGCTACACTGTGCCATGCCAAGGACCCCCTGTGACGTATGACAGATGCTGGAAATGAGGGTGCGGGGCTGCCGGAGAGCAGCTTGGGGCACACACCAGTGAGCATCTCACGGCGGGGTGCACCCAGGAGCAGAGCAACCCTCCCCTACGTGACCCTGTAGTGAGCCACAGGGCAAAGGCTTTGGGTTTGCTTTTAT